GTGTTCTCTTTTTGCTTCCGAAAGAGCCGGGGAAATATCGCTGATCCAAATCCAGGCACTCCGACCCGACCTGCTGCTTTGAGTGTTGGGGCATATATTTATTTGCATCATCTTCCTTAACTGGTGTGTCTCCATTCTACGTCTCCCTTTTCTCTCCTCTCTGTCCCACTCCTACTACAGGCCCTCATTCTCCTCCTCCGCAATCTTCCGGTGGTGTCTAGGTCTAACTTATTTGAATATGTGTCATTTGGCCTCCTCGGGCAGTGGGTGGGGAGGTGGGAAGCGCTTTCCGTGTGGTTTTATTTAAATTCGGCATGGGCGGGTAGGTGCCCTGTACAATTCGTCTCGCACACGCAATACAGTTTAAACGCTAGAGCGAGAATAAGCGAAGAGTTCCCAATCTTCAGAGTGCAGCCAGGCAAGGAAATAATCCGCGGGGCGGGGGTAGAGAGGTAAAGGAATAAAACCCAACTTCCCTGGCAACTTCAATAAATCCGGTAACCGGAGGCAAAAAATAGACTCTGAGGGTTGGGTCTGGTCCGGATGAAACGCTAGCGCTCCTTCCCATCCGAGAGTCTGGCGCGGGAAGTCGGCCACTGGCGTCTTGCCACGCGAGTGCCCCTAGACAGCAACACACCCACTGGAAACGCACGTGAACAAAGCTCTCGCCCCGGGATCCGCCGCCTGCGGTTTCCCAGTCGGTGCCAGCTTCTCCAGGGCGCGCACAGGGTTAAGTTAGTTCCCTCCTTGGGCGGAGGGAGAGGAGGGGGAGGGGAGGGGGAAAGCAGCAGCGAGTCTCCGGCTGGATACCTTTGGAGTTAGTTTTCCTCGCAGTCCGGTCGCCTTCTCTCGCAAATTTGGCATCATCCGTAGTCACCGCCGAGGGAGAGCGCTCGGAGATAACATCTGTGGCCGCAATCTCTGCGCCAAGGCGCGGCGCGGCGCGGCGCGGCGCGGCGCCCTCCCGGGTGCGCCTCCAGTCGTCGGTCTGGGGTGTCCGTGCAGCGTCAAGGCAGCACTTTCGCGCCTGCTGTCGGGTCCATTGACCCTGGGGACCAAGGTGGCAGTTCTCAACGATGGGCAAGAGGGACCTCAGCAGCGACCCCTAAAACAATACCATGCCCCGGGAGCCCCGCAGCTGCCGCGCTAGCTTCTTCCCTTTCCACCTCCCCGACCCTGTCGGATTCGGATGAGCCCATTACGAGGAAAAGTGGCCGCCAGGTAAAGAGGCTGCGGTTCCAGGTGAAGTTTCTAGTAATCGCCCGAGCTGCCGCAACGCGGGCGCCACGCTGTTTCTTTGGGGAAAGATTTCATTTTATGTTTTAACCTGTGGGGGCTGGGGGGGTTGTCATCAGGTATCGTAGGCTTTGTCTTTAACCCGGAGAGAATATAGGCTGCTTATTTCTCCCCCTTGACTTAAATCTATCGGCAAGTCGCATACACGTCCTCTAAGGAGTTTTGCAACTGAACTCTGGGTCAAAACGCAAACCTGCTTGCCTTCTAGAAGCATGGATCCAGAATTGGGGTTTCCCAGCCCCTATGCTTTCGGAGCTCAGCTTCTCACTTAGGGAGAATTAATCTCTTAACTTCCATAAGTAACAACCTCCTTCCCCCTCGATCTGTTGTTAATGTCACCACCGTTATTATCAAGCGGTCCTATCTTAAACCACCAGTTAGACCCCTGCCCGCAATCCAGAATCGATTAAGGGCTAAAATACCGTGGACGCTAATTCATTTCTCTTCGGATTGGGATAGAGGTGCTTTTTCCAAAACCAGTCCCTCTCCAGCCCTGCAGGTCTTCTCTGGACTGGCGGGCAATGTGCTGGGGCCATCCCGCCTCCGTGGAGCGCCAGTTCGGGTTGCACTGGCACGAGGAACGCAGGAGTATATACCGGGATTGCGTTCTGGGTGTCGCTTGCGTGGGACGCGGTGCGGAGGGGGATGTCAGATAACGCCCCCAGGCTCTGAACACAGGGGCAAGGAGACTGCAAGGGGTCGGAGCAGGGTCCAGCCGGCTGCCACCTCCTCTCCAACCGGATTCCAGGCCTCCCGGAAAAATCCCTCCGCCACGCTGACCAGGCCGGGTCTCGCCCTTGCGCTTTCAGCGCCAGCGCGGTCACTTCTCATTTGTAATCAGGCCCAAGATCAAGGTTACCTAGTTGGGGACACTAAACAGGGAAAGGAAGCCATCAAGGAAGAAGACTGGAGAGGGTTGGACCCACTCTGGACGCCCGGGAAACTCCTGGAGCTTGCGGGGGAGGGGGAGGGTGGCTCAAGCAGGCGTCAGTAGCGGGTAGAGGCTTAGGCCACCAAAGCTGCCGTCCCTGGCGCTTGGCTCTTGGAACCTCCCAGCAAGATGGCACTCACTGTCTGTCCCACTCCGATTAGCGCCCCCTCCTTGTCCGGATACTTATTAGTCACACGGTGAGTGGGGGAGAAGACGAGCAATGTGTACATGTGGAGGCATTTTTCCGAGCTACCTTCGCATAATGCAACAGGAGCAGCGACCCGCGCGCACAAACCCCAGTCGTGGGTGCGTGTGTATGCGCGCGTGTGAACGCGTGGGCCAGCGTGCGTCTCCGCGGGTGCGCGTCTGGGTGTTTCTGTTCGTGGCTTGGGAGGCAAATCAGGCGTTTCTCCAAGTTGTCTTAACATGACTTAGGCCCTCAAATACATGAGAGCGGTAGACACAACAGGGATGCGAAGGAAATAAAAACAATCGGGAAAGTGGTGCCAAGTGACTGAGGCTTTGAACTGTGCACAGGTTGAGCGGTCGCGCCAGGGCGCGTCCGGAAATCATCCCCCGCAGATCGCGGGCACCGCCCCTGCCTAACCCAGATGTCCTGAGAGCAGAGCGGATCCCTAGGGAAGTGGTCCTGGGTTAGTTTCAAACTGGCCCCTTGCATCTTTCGTGGCCGCGCAGACCGCGCGTCTTGGCGCAGCCCAGCGCTTGGCGCGGGCTCGTTCTCCCTCTTCTGTTCAGATTCGGTCTCTCTCCGGACTTGTTAAAACAAGGCAGGAACTTACCGGAGGCAGGAGGAGCAGCGATGAAATAAGAGGGGAAAAGCAGAACCTACCTCCCCCACCAAAGGGACGCGCACCTGGGATTTTTTTTTTTTTTTTTACATTACTCTTTAACCTTTGCAAAGAGACTGTGGAGTGGAAACGTTACCTGTATACAAATTAGGCTTCTTCAGCTGTCATGTCCGTTTCCTAAATCTTTGAGACTGAATCTCCGATTGTCCACTGCAATCTTTGGGGAAATCGAACAACGCTCTTGCCATCAGCGGTCTGAGTGAGGGGAGAAAATAGGGATGCTTAAAATAATCATAATTAACTTTGAAATATTTCTCCAATTAAAAGTTATTGAAGAAGGTCTAGAGTGAGGAAATTAGTGATGGGAAAGGGGTGGCGGTGTGGGGGGGGCACATCTCCATGGTTTCCTACATGTGAAATAACGCCATTTTGGTTGAGAGGCTTGCTATAGTTTTACCCTCTAATCGCAGGTTTCTAACATTCTTAGTGTCTGAGTAAGAGATTCTCTCGCCCGGAAGTGCATTAGGCAGGTGTGGAAGAAATCTGTTTTTAGGGTTCCGATGTTGATGGCATTATTCCTAAGAACTGGGAATAGGAGAGCATGTCAGGAAAGAGAGAGAGAGAGAGAGAGAGAGAGAGAGAGAGAGAGAGAGAGGGAGAGAGAGAGAGAGAGAGAGAGAGAGAGGAGAGAG